TGATGGTTCTTTGGGAAACACTAATTGTTTTTGGTTCTCTTAGGGACTGAACGCATGGCTTTGATTATGCTGTGTAAGGGCTCTACCCCTGAGTTAAACCCCAGCCTGAAATTTGAGTAGTTCTATGAGGTTTCTTCTACTGGGATCTTGTGTTCTAGCATACATAGCAAGGTTCCCTTCCTAAAAATGAATGTTAGCATCTGAGACCACTGTAAATGACTAGTAGTCCTTCCCTCAGGGGAAGTCAGGCCTGTACTACAACTGATTGTTTAAGAAATTTTAATGTCATGAATATGAAGATGGGATCATCAAGATGGCTTTCAGAGCAGATGTTGGGAAGGTGGATTGTACCAGAGTGAGAGGCACAAGGAAGCCAGGGTAATGGGCAAAGCTGGTAAATTGGTAATTTGCAAACTTAAGTACTGCAAAAACCTAGCTCTAATCAGCTTAAACAAAAAAAAAAGAGGTTTATAGACCAAGGTACTCAGGCAATGTGAATCAAACAGTAATGAATATAAGAGTTCAAATGGTGTTGCTCGGAATGCGCTTCCTGGTTAGCCCTGCTTTTCTCTGTGTTGGCTTCTTTCTTTGGTACACTCTTTGCCTGGATTCCTAAAGTACCTTCAACTCTAAAGCCAGAAATCCACCAAAAAATGAGAGATCCTTTCTCTCCTGACAGCTTCAACAGGTCTTGTTGCAAGGACTGATTAGCCTGCCTTGGGTAGGTGGCTAACCTTGAACCAACAGCTGAGGCCATGGCGCAGCAGCCCATTATGGATGGCTGGCTTATTTGGTGGTGCAGGTTGTCCTACAGAAAGGAAAGAAGGCAGAAGAGGACGAGAACATGCTGCATATGCAACAAATGGATCTCCCACGCTCTCCTGCAAGATTGGTCCTGTGGAGCTCAGCGTTCCTTGGTTGTGTCATAAAGGCTGGCTAGGCTGCTAGCCAGATGCATGCTAGTTCAAATAATAACGGAAGGTCATTTCTGATTTAGGTAATAGAACTGCACAAGGGAAGTATGATCTTTCTCCATGCACTCATTGTGGGACCCACATCTTCAATACGTTTTCTGCAGGTCTCTATTGCAGCTGATCTGGATAGGGACAGGAAGTGATGGTAGAGGGCAGGAGGAGAATTTCATGGGCCAGGCCTGGAAGAGGTACATATCACCTCAGCTAATTTCCAATTATTTATTTATTTATTTAAGCTCATGTTCAATGCACTGGAACTCAAGCACATGGTCACACCTAACTTCAAGGGAGGTGGGAAATGTAGATTAGTTATGTGCTCAGCAAGAAGAGAGAATAAATTTTGGTAAACCACTGTCAGTCTTTGCTTCATCAGTCACCACTATTCTGCAAGTGGATGGGAAACAAGTGGCCCTTATAGCTGCACAGTATAGAAGTTGCAGAGTTCTTACTGCAACTGTTCACACATATTAATCCACAACATCTTCTCAGCTACCTGGGGGACATGATGAGAATCCTCACTGGAGGATTAAGAAACACAGGCAACCAGAGTTTACTTATTTACTCCAGGCTGCAGGACTAGAAACTGTTGTGGCCAGGATTTGGTACAAGATGGCCACACAGGTGTCTGTTAGAAACACAAATGAGATGTTTGTAAAGGCCTAGGCAGTGTCAGACACATAGGAAACACTCAGCCAGTACAAGTCATGTTACTAACATGCTGGTTGTTTAAGTCAGCTTTTTCACTGCTGTGGCCAAAAGACCTGACAAGAACAAATTCAAGGAGGAAAAGTTTATTGGGGGCTCACAGTTTCAGAGGTCTCAGCCCATAAACATCCAACTCCATTCCTCAAGGCAGAACATCATGAGAGAAGTATGTGGTGGAGGAAAGTGGCTGAGGACATCACACAAGGAAGGAGGGGGGTGGGAAGGAGGGAGAGAAGAGAGAGACTGACTGACTCAGTTCAATGAGGAAAAAATATAAACCCAAAGGCGTGCCTCCAGGACCCACCTCCTCCAGCCACACCCTACCCACGAGCAGTCACACTCACTTAATCCCCATCAGGGGATTAATTCACTGGTGGGGTTAAAGCACTCATAATCCAGTCATTTCACCTCTAAAGCCTTTTTGCATTGTTTCACTTGTGAGCTTTTGGGGGACACCTCGCATCTAAATGATAACACTCCTCCTCCCTTTTTTTCATATGCTTTATTGGTGCATTATAATTACACACAATCGTGGGATTCATCGCTCCATATTCGCACATACACATGCTATTGCATACAATCTGGTCAGCACTGTTCCCCAGCTGGCGCCTCAGCTCACGCACGTTACTGCACCTCTGAGGAAGGCGCATCTGGAGGTGGAGCTCTGAGGCAGAGAGGTGGCTGTCACAGAGGCAGGCTCCAGAATGCCTTTTTCTATAGAGTGCAATGGCCTAAGGAGACTAGATGTGTTTATTACACTGGGGCCAGTGTAAATCAGCCAGGTGTCACCCAGATAGCTGGGACTTTCCTAGCAAGAATGCCTTTCCTCTATTTGCTCTGAGACAGTTCCCTTCTGGCCTTTTCCTGTTCAGCTCCTGGCAGCTCCTTCCATAGTTTTCTCAGCACAACCTTCTCCTGTTCTTGTCCTCAGGCAGAATCCCAAAGATCCCAAAGATCCCAAGTACGTTCTTGTGACAAGACTTAGATTGTGGCTTTGTGAGTTTTGGTCCTTGCCCTTCATCACCCTGCAGACTTGCCAGAGGCACAGTTTGATCCCGTGCCTCACACCAGGCCTCACGTGAGAGGGGGCAGTGGAAGAGTGGTGACTGGATGCTGACAAGAATCACAACAGCAGCAAGGATTCACTGAGCTGTACTCCAGACACATGTGAGGGGCTTTTCAGCCACTCCAGATTTCACCCTCACTCTAACACAGTAAAGTAGGTATTATAGGTATCGCCATTTGGATGCCTGACACAGCTTTTGGCTGTCATGCTCTATTGCCATGCTGGGCCAACCTAAATTCAATGACAAAGAGGATACCAACTAGCCTCCTGCTCTGGATCAGGCTAGAGGGACAGAGGAGGCACTTGCAAGAGGCACAGTTCGGATCCTGAAGACCGGGGGTGGGGATGGAGGGGACAGGCAGCAAGATCAGAACAGTAGCCTAATGCCCAGCCAGAAAACCTTTGAGGGAGGAAGAAGAGGGTTTCTGTTAAAGGGTGGGCATGTGGCCTGGACTCTCCATGTGGTAGACCCAGCCTAGGACAGAGAAGGAACCAGGGACCTCCAGCTACACACAATATCTGGGAGATGTTCTACATGGCTGACCCAAGCTTCCAATGAAATGTAGATGAGGTCAGGCACTGGGAACCACTGCCCTTAGTTTCTTGAGCTTCTTTAACAACCTTGTAATTTTCCCATGTTGGTAATTTTTAAAACTCTCTGACCTTTCTGTTACTAAAACTCCTTTGTCCTTTTTTTCTACTGTTTATTTTGGAGGCAACAGGGCTGAGGAGAGGATGAAGAAGCTGTGTCCGGATTGGAGTAGCCCTGGGAGAAGAGGCGTTAGAGACACCATGCGAGTGGCTGGAGAGAAGAAGTGGCTTGCCTCCATGCTGGGCTGGCCCAGGAGGGAGGACAGCACATGGGGAGAGGGCTGAGTGGATGGTAGCTGGCCAGAAAGCCCCTTGGACTCAGGGGATCCATATGTTTCTCTTGATACCCCTTGCCCTTGACACTCAGCCCCAAGAAGGATCTGTGTTACACAGAAATTCATGTGTGCATTCAGTGAAAGCCATGTACCAATCTGTTCATCAAAAGTTCACTTAAATTAGGAAGAAAATATTACAGCTTTGTAAATCTTGAAAGAATTTGGGGATCACAGACACTTGGTGGCTGTAATCAGTGACGCTTGTCATTGCCAAGGGTGAACATCAGCTCCTGAACTATTTCGTTGGAACTGCTGGGCCTTGAAAGCTGCTGTGCAGATCAGACCCAGGTAGAACAAACTAAGATTTAATTAGCACAAAGATTTTCTCCCTAGATCCTGGGTTTCCTCTGGACTCTCAAAGAGGAAAACGATAAAATGAATGACAGCAGTTTTTTAGATCTGTGCAGTTGGCCAGTAATCTAATTTGATTCCAATTTTAAAAAAATGACAGATCCAAGGACCCTTTATTTGGAATGCTTTCTGATATTTTCCAAGAGTTGACATCATTGAAAAACAAGCACCTTTTCTTCAACAATCCAGATCTTGCAAACAATTTCAAACAGGGCACAGAATCATAAAGCTCTCTTGAGCTGCTTTGAACCAACTTGAACAGAAGATAGAGATGCAGACCACAGCCAATAGAATGAGATGTAGCTGAGGGAAGGAAGAGCTAAATCTTGACCTGGCAGGTAAGAAGAGGTAACCCTGTGTTTAGAAATTGAAAAACAAGATTCTTTAAGGTTCACTTCCCAGCAAAAGAGATTTCGGGGGGGGGGCGCGTAATTTGCCCTTCTTGCCCTTTTCCCTTTTGCTGTCTTCTTCCTCAGGCCGTCTCCCTTTACCTCTTCAGTTACTAGAGTGGCCTCACGCATGAAGGCTAGAAAGATAAAGTGGAGACCACAGGAGACAATGTCAAATGGAGGTAAGTAAAGATCAATCTTATGTTGGCTAAAAAAGGTATATTAAGTAGCTAGCAAAGGTTTGCATCTAGGACATGCAATGACAGACATTGAGAATAAAACTACGGATGCACACATCATGGTGCTAATATGCAGACATTACAAATAAGAAATCCTGCCACATCTTACCAATGTATTTCAAAATAACTCGTGGCCCTTTCGAATCCCATGGAGAGGCTGTGAGACTGAAGGGAAAGGACCCCAGGCCCACATGATGGCAGAGGGAACGGGAGAAGCCCAGGGGAGCTGCTGACCTTGAGGCTGGGGAGAGGGGACTCTCTAAGCAGAGCTTGGCGCTGAGTTCAGACATGTGTCACTCACTAAGTGAACTCCAGCTCAGTTATATGAGGAAGGCCTGGCCGTGGGGAAATCTGGTATGAGAACAGGCCACTTGGCTTTCTGCATTACCCTTTCTTATTGCATAATCATTGTACACAGTTATAATAAGTCATTTTTGTAAAAATAGATCTTGGAAGGAAAGTTCTTACTGAATCCCTTATAACCTCAGGGATTCAGTTATAGCAGACTGAATCATGTCCCCAGATACCTATTGACAGTGTGGCCTCTGGGTAGACAAGGAAACCCATGATGCAAAGGTAAATTCTGTTACAATGGGGTCAGTGACTCCCTGTGAACCAGACTCCTAATTGAGACTCAAAACCTTTCATTGGAAAGCTTCTTTTTTCCTTTCAGCTATCATGATCTGTGTGTATCCCAGCCATCGTTTTAAAATGATGCTCTGAAAATCACTTGGACACCTTGAAAATCAGTGGGGAAAACTTTGGCTTCATGGGTAAATGTTGTGGAGGCCTTGTGCTCAAATGCAGGGCAACAGAGGTCATGGTCTTAGGAATCTAGTCTTGCTGAGCTGAAACTTGCAGGGGTTTTACTCAAAGAGATGAAATGCCCTTCAGTGAAGGCCTGGGAACCTGGAGGGAGTCCCTGTCATCTAGTTGCTTCAGAGGTGATCTAATGACTCGAACTTGCACAAGCCACCTGTGACTGTATGTACATTTTTCTCTTCTTCCGTTCCACTCTCAGATTTTAAGTACCTCAAAATAAGAGCTTTTGTCCCCATGGTATCTGATTAAAAAACAAAACAAAACAAAAAATAAAGACAAATTGGCCTCTTGCTATTGCTAACGGAACGTGTGGGGAGGTGAGAAGGAAGCGGGGTTTGGTTGACTGTGCAGGCAGGGTGCTCACCCCTATTGCACTTTCATTCCTCTGCCCTTGGCTGTAGCACCCTGGGGCAGGGACCTAACAGAGCCCTTGAATTGGATCTGGCCTGCTGCAGCCCTGACAGGAGACTGGACCCCACACATTAAACCCTGGGTCAGCCCACAGCCCTCAGTGCTGGAGCATCACAGAAGAATCCACCCAGGTGTCATGGGGAGCCCCAGCACACTCTGGAGGATGGCATCTGTCCACCAGGCTCCTGAACCATCCAGAAGATATCATCTTCTCAGCGTCTCTGCTGACAAGGAAGTTGATTCTAGGGCAGGGGCTGGAGGGAGAGAGCCTTTTCTCTCCTCGCTCTCCTCCCTCTCCTGCTACTCCAGAGCTGCTTCTCCAGCCCAGTAGCTGAGAACTGTGTCTTAGAGAACATGAGGCCTTGGCCAGCGTCAGAGGCACTGTTATTGCAGCTAAGGACACAGCCTGCCTGGGATCCAACCTCCCTTTCATCGAGTTGTTTGTTCTTTTACTTCCTAGTGTCAGCAGTCCTGGGAACAGGAAATGGTTTGTGCAATAGGAAGTGTCAGAAAAAACGATGACTGAATACTTTTAAGCTGTGTGGATAACATTTCAAGGTACGTAGAGATATTTACACACATTCTAAAACACATGTGCATTGAAAATATGAACTCTATCAGAGTTCATATTTTTCAATTTTTAAAGTGTTATTAATTATTGAAAGCTTACTGTGGGTCCCAGGCCCTTTGATTGCACTTCTGTAATTCTAACATCCTTTACACTGCATTATCCCATTTTTCAGGTGAGAAAAGAGGAGCACAGATAGTTTAAGTGGCTTCTGGTAAGCAGCAAGGCCACCACCTGATCCCCAGGCCTCCTTGGCTGGACCCTGGTGCATGGCTACACACTCCTTGGGAGGAATATTTCAGGACTTTGCCTCACTGCTGGGGGCTTATGGACAATCTACCCATGACATCTGGGAAAAGCAGTTCTGCAGCTCTGAAAGATGGCTATGTTATGGGTAAGGTATTATTATCTCCTATTTTCACAGGGCAAAGGGAAGCACTTATTAAAAGGGCCCAAACCAGTTGTCTGAGCCCAGACTTGCAAGGCCTCCTGCCCACAGCAGTCTCATTGCTGAGTGGCCCTGACATAGGCACATCCTACTTTTTACTGTCTGAGACTCAGTATCTGCTCCCTGCCCCCACCTACAGTGACAGGACCCAGTTGGGCTGTCTGGTCAAATCTACGTGTGTCTTCATGAAATCCGACGTGGGACCAGTTGAATGTTGAGATATGGTCACCTGAGGGAGAGGAGAAAAGTCGAGTCTGGCTGGCGGTCCACAGAGGTTAGGAACCTGGCACAGTACAAGCCTGCTGCCTCTGCCCACCAGTAGCCTGGCAGCCCAGAGAGGAACTGGAGGAGGCGGCGGCTTATCACTGGCATATCAGCTGATGGTAGAGCTATGAGACTGTCTTTAAACTCCGTGTTCCAAGTCCTTTTTCTCTTTCCTGATTTCACAATTTGAGTTTATTTTTTTATTCCCTCCTAATGCTGTTTGCTCCTCTGATGGCTTCACCTGGACAGAGAACTGCTAGGTCCCTGGGCAAAGCCTCATCCCACTATCGGTCACAGTTTTAGCTTGCAATTTCTTATGATAACTTAATTCCAGGCTCACACTCTAAATACAGGACACACATTCTGGAACTGTTAGACAAAAAGTGTTACTCATTTTACTGTGCAGCATTTTATTTCCATCTAAAAACAATGCTTACCATCAATGGATATTCAGAATAATACAGTAGAATCAATGCCAGGTAATCAAGTTGGTGGCTCTTAAAGATCTGTAATAGGTTATGATAAAATTTTACAGATTGGCTTAGACAGAATGAGTAGGAGCAAGTCAATGCCGGCATCATCAATGTTCCTTGCACAGCTCAGCAAAGAAACAAGAGTGGCCATCTAGGTTTGGTGAGAGAGCACAGCAGAGGTACTTTGGTGTGAAATATGAAGTTTATAAAAGGATTATTAATCATCTTTCAGCTCTGGCAAAAACCTCCTTTGTTATTTGGGAGAAAATAGAAAGTAACAATAAAGGGTTTTATATTCCATTGTGACAGGGCAAACATGATTTTCACTAACCTTTTTCTATATTTGGACTTATGCCCAAAGAATCTATATATATTTTAAGCAAAAGATTATCCCTTTTTATTGCAATTAGTAAAAATAGTAACCCATGTTTAATGAACATGAGGTGAAATAAAATAATTTTCTAAGCATGTAAAGAGGTTGATGCAAATACCGGTAATAATTGAAAAAGTTTTTAACAATTGGTAGGATCAGAGGATCTTCCAGCCCTGGAGGGAACAGGGTGCTAGGAGTCATGCCTCTGTCTGCTGGGTCTTGGGGACCGTCCAAGAGCTCTGGAAGAAAGGCTGGGAAGTGTGGCTCAGCATAGCGACAGTTCAAGAGTGTTACGGAAATCTTTCCAAATGTAAAAACTGATAAATCTGTACTAGTTGAATATCAGGGCTGTGAATTTTTTTTAATCTTATATATGGATAGTAATAAGTGAAAGTAATTTGAAGAAAATATCATCTCTATACAAGCCCCTTTAATGTTAAAATAAGAAATGCTTATTTCTGACCTGCTGTGAAGTCTGGGAACTATGAATGCTCTGGACCAATTGCCTCAAATAATATGCTTCTTACTGAGCGAGAGGTCTCTCATACTTTAAAATAATAATACTTTTTTTTTCTTTTTGTGTGTGTGTTATGTGTGTGGTACTGGAGATAGAACCTGGGGACACTTTACCACTGAGTTGCATCTTCTGCCCTTTTTATTTTTTGAGATATGGTCTCACTAAGTTGCCTAGGTTATCTTCAAACTTGCAATACTCCTGCCTCAGCCTCCCCAAATTGCTGGGATTACAGGTGTGTGCTTCTGCACCTGGCTCCAAAAGGCTTCTTAGGAATCACTGAATCATTGGGTGTGATGGTGCATGCCTGTAATCCTAGCAACTTGGGAGGCTGAGGCAGGAGGAACATAAGTTCAAGGCCAACCCTAGCAATTTAGCAAGGCTCTGAGCAACTTAATGAGACCTTGTCTCAAAAAAAAAAAAAAAAAAAAAAAAGTCTGGGTATGTAGCTCAGTGGCATAGTGCCCCTGGGTTCAATTCCTAGTATGAAAAAAAAATCACTGAATTACCTTGATAAAAACTGAACACATGGCATCAAAGCCCTTATCAGTCCCTTTGATTTTTCCTTATCACTGAAGGCGAAGGAAACTTGGAGTTTTAGAAGCTGCTTGTCCTTCTTAGATCCCAAATATGCCTATGTGTACCCATCTTTTTTCTTTACTTTATCCAAATGAGTAATTATTGAAATGTACTATTGACACGAGCAAAGGACGGCGGCGAGGTCCTCCGACCGCTCCCGGGTGGTCCTGAAGTCACCGCTGCCCCTGCCCCAGGTAACCTCTCCCGGCCGACGATCCGTGTCTTGAAAGAAGAAGCCGCCACACGCGAGATGCCTTTTCGAATGCCCGGTTTATTCACTCCAAGGGCATCACATCACACGAGGCACAGGAACAGAGGCTGGTGGGACTCAGTTCGCTCGATGTTGACCCACACATAGTGAGTCTGAACTGGCCAAAGAGCTCAGCCTTCCTGGCCTTTAAATACTATAGTTGTTTACAATACTTTAAACCAAAAACATGTTTATTCCATAATTTCTATTTCTTATCCTATCTTAACAGATCGTCTCTATTACATCACATCTTGTTTACATCTTTGCTTATCTTAGAAAATCACACTTGTTTTGTGCTAAAATACCTCAAAACATGTTTACCTTTTATCCTTATCTATTTCACACATTTTCTAGCTTAGGCACCTTTCTTCATCACAACATGTTTACTTCAAACTCTCCTGTCCTTTGTTTATTTCAAACTCTCCTGTAACTCTCCTGTCAACTATATTTTTCTTCTTCTTCTGGTACTAAGAATTGAACCCAGAACCTCACGCAATAGGCAAGTGCTCTACCACTGAGCTATTTGTCAAGTCCCTGAAAGTGGACTACTTGTAAAGAAAGCACTTTAAGAACAGAGAGAGAAATAAGGCCAGGACTCTATTACCTACAGGGAATCTTTATGTTCTACTTGTAGTCAGTTTCTCCATTAAGAGCTCTGGATGAGGTTTTTAGTTCTCTATTTTTTATTTGGTTGCATTTTTTTAAAAGATTAGTTTTAACCCTTTGGAAATTAAAAAAAAATTAATATTTCAACCTAAGGTATAATAATGCTTAGGGGAAGCAAAGACCTCAAATATGATTTTTTTAAAAAAATCAATAAGGAGCTCAAAATTGGATAACTAAGGGTTTTTAAATACATTTCTTGTTACCACTTACATGACCTCCAATTTATATATGGTGTTATCTTAAGCACAGAGACTAAACTCAAACAAAGTTAATTTGTTGATCTCAATAAAAACATTTCATTCAGAATCAGAGAATTTTAAAAACTTCAAACGACTTCCAAGATCTCTTAGTTCCACTTTACTTGCTCAGTGTTTCACGGCTTGTTAGGAGAGACCTAATAAGGCCTTTTTTTAATACCCAGCACAGCTATCTTTTAATCATACAACATCAGTAGCACTAGCAGCTATAAGACCTTAATGGCTGAAAAGATTCAAAATCACAAGGACCAAGGAAAAGGAAGACTCAAGGATGACAGCAATTTCTGTCATTAAAAGTCAGCTCCTGGGCACCCAAATTTAACTACAAGAGGACCAGCTATGTGTCTTGAGTCATTTGGGACTTTGAAAGTGTAGTTTGAATCCTGTCCCTAGCGTTTACCAGCTGTGGGTCAGGAGTCATGCTATTTAGTTAACCCTCTGAGCTCCAGCTTCTTCAACTATAGAATGGGGATAATTATTAACTCAAGAGCTGTCATGCACTAAATAACTAAAGTGGCTGATACTTCATAGGGACTCTATAAATGTCAGTCCTCTTTTTGCTTTACAATTCCTAAGTTAAATTTTAGTAAAAGATGATGGAATTTGATTAACTATCTGGGACATGACCAGTTATTTTCCTTGCTTGTAAAATGTTTACCCACATTAGCTATTGAAAACTAAATCACAGACTATGAGTCAAATGATATCTATTTAATGTGTTAAAAAATCTAATCACAGATTCATCCTTTAGGATCTACAACAAGTTAACAATCAAGGGGAACACTATTGAAATTATTTTACAGTCATAAAGCCAGGAATTAGTCTGAAAGTTGATCAAAACAAAATGTATTTTAGTTCAGTTTCATAGTCCTACAATTAATAGACAGTTATATTTTAGTTGAAGATTCTGTTTAAACATGGAATGAGGGCTGGATTGCATGGTACAAGGGCCTGCATCCTGGCTGAGAGTATTTTTACGTCTAAAGTTTCATTTAGGGTCAAATGAGCAGAAACCTTACACCGTCAGTTAACATTTAACCAACTGTGCAGTGGTTTAAGCTAATGTTAGCACTACATCTGGAAGCATCACGTCAGTGAGTTAAGAGGCAGCACAGTTACTACTGCAGTGGCTGAGAGGAGTAAACTCTTCCATTTTACAAATACTTTATTTGTACTGAGAGAGAGAGAGTATGTCTTGCTGAAAGGGATCTATGTTACTATTTGATTTAAAAAAAAAAATTTTCCTAGGATCTAAATCTACAAACACAATGTGATATCCGAGGCCACCAGAATCTGGCATCAGAGTGAACTCCTAGTCCAGGCCTGGTACTTTTCCACTGTCCAAGTCTTTATCAGTGCCTGTCCCAGCACCTCTCTTCCCTCAAGCAGGAAATCAAACCCCCTTCCCAGCAATCTTGCTGAGGCTTCCAGGCAGGGAATGCAGTACTGACAAGATTACAGCTCTTGGTCTTTAGCTATCACTTGTCAGTAATTAATTTCTCAAATATGCATGCCATTAACTTAGTACCTAAACGCCCAGGGTTAATGACATACATTTACATATAACAGGTACTTAAAGTATTTGAGTAAGAGATTCAGTCTTAAAATGTGTCATTTTCCATCTTTTGAATAACACCTGATAAGCCAATTTAAAAGAGTATTTGAGAAATCTGTTAACAAACAATTAAAACATTCCTTTTTAGGGCAATTTGAGGATTAAAGTTTTTTAAAAAGAACATTGGGACAAAAAGCCACTGAACACTGAATCTTAAGTCTAAAGAAAATTTTAGTTCCTGCAAGAACTCCATGGTGATGAAGACAGAAGTGTTTGGAATACTATAATTTTCTATTTTAAATGTCAAGAATAGCAATAAGCAAATGGAGCCAATGAAATTTAAGAGAAGAGAAAATGTAATTTTCACTCCTGGTTAATTACTGATGTTGAAAGAATGTGGAACCATTTTTATTGTCAACATAGTAGATTATGTGTTTTTCACAGTGGAAAGCTATTACAAGGATCTTCAACTCCAAGCTCACTTCACACATACATTTGATGGAGGTTAACTTATTTTGAATACTATATTAAGAGGATTGTTGTGATAATGTAACTGAGGAGCCCTCTGTAGTAGTTTTCAGTGCTGTAGTTTCTTGAAGGTAAGCCAAGAATTTTTGTATTCCTCACTGCATTTATCATACATTGGGTAATTAATCTGTAATGTATACATAAAATGCTAAGGCAAGAATGTGAGAGAGAAAAGGAAGGGGTCGGGGGTCTATGTGGGAGGTCAATGGCTCCAAAGAAAGCACCTGAACCGACCAGTCCTGCCTACACAGCTACTTGCTGCTCTTAAGCAATCAGTTGTTCCTGAAATATGGCTACTCATGCCTACCTCTAAGGCTTGTGTAAGGGATTTGTAGACTTCCTGACACATAACAAGAACATGATGCTTCTTTTTGAACACATATGTAATTAGTACTTACACTATCAGGTGTTGTTCTGGGAAGACAGCATAAAGGTGAGTGTAGTGCCAGGTGCCAAAATGACCCATCGATATGACATGGTGGGTGGAGAGAAATGCTGCAGAAATCATCTCAAAGAAGGTAAGGAGATAGAATAACAGATGAGGTGGGTGCATGCTGGCTGCAGTACGCTCATATCGTGTTCAGAGAAGCCTTCTCTGGTAGTACTTTCTGGCAGCCAAGCCAGGAAACCTGCCTGGACCATGGCTGGCTAGATGCAGATGCCAGTCTGCATAAGAAATATGCAAATGAGCTTATACTGAACATCTATATATACCTGAAAAGATAATACATAGTTGCTATTACCAAATGCTGCAATCATGATGGGTTAATGCATGGGAAATGAATAATGCCTGCCATTGTTCCTTAATTCTAATGTGCTTCAACTAGATGTAGTAGTTGAGTTTTATGAAAATTCAGTTTCTGTAAGTCAAAAATGGTGGAACATTATCATAAGGTTCAATGGATTTGCTGGATAGGGATGGTGAAAAGGCAAAGTACATGAGTTCTGGAAAATAACTGGATTTGAATCTCAAACTCAGGACTCATTAGCTATAGTCCTGAGCAAGCTATTTAACCTTTTTCTCCTTGGGTTTCCTCTTACAGGGTAACAGTATAATCTAAGCCACAAGACTGTACCAATAACTGAATAAAATATATAGGTAAAATATTTAGCACAGGGCCCAAGAAATTAATAAACAATGAACCAACTAAGAAGGGGGATTGTGTCATTTTCATAAGCGAATGATTAATTCTGCATCACAATAGTTCTTTTCTAGGTACTCAAACTGTATTTTACACAGTTTTTGATCAAATTATTATTCCCTGTGTTTACACAATTCATTCCTTAAATAGATAG